CTCGAAGATGGAAGGAAGTTGGCTGCCTCGAGTGAGTGGAGGGGAACGGGCGACAGGTTGATTTATTGCCTCTGACCTCTGGGGTGCAACGATGATATCTTGGAAGAAACGAGCCACACACTGTGCTGCTCTCGATCGAGGATCTTTCGGGATCTCTCTGGGTTAATCGGATCGATTTCGCAAGAATTTTAAAGTTTCAAGCGGAATATTCTTATTTCCTTCTATTTTCGATAGAAAATTTCGATGGAATATATATATATATATATCTTTCTATCCAAGCATGGATAGAATATTAAAAGGCAAGAGGTTAATCGCTGGCAAATTCAAAGAAGCTCGTACAATTTCTTCCGTATTTACCATTTCCTCGTTCTTGGGCAAAGATCGCTGTATCTCCGCGATTTCTTCCTCGCGTTTGGAGAGAATCGAAACGGGGCACAAAGGGGCACATCTCTGGTTCACAAAGGGAACTCGAAAGACTAGCTTCTTCTTTTCTTCCAAACGTTGAAAAAAAAGTGGTATCCTAGAGCTTTCGTTCCGCCAGCAGTCTCTCCTCGACTGTTCCGGTCAAGTCGAGCTTTTGTGCTCTCTCCTTCGATTTCCACCGGTTTCCCTCCATCCTCGGGAATTACGGGACCCATTGTGTCCCTTTCTCTCTCTCGGCGAAAATGGGGGGAGGAGTAGGATGTATCGAGCCGACAAAAGGAAATGGCCGAGAAAGGAAGAATGATTTCCACTTCGGTTCGCCCCGGCCGGCGACGTTTGTTTCGAAAATTGCTCGCGGGGTGAATCGCGATTGTGAACCGACCGGGGAAAGAAGTAATTTTATTCGAGGAGGGAATAATGGTGAATCGAAAAGCGTCGAAGATCGTCCCATTTTGAAAAATCTCTATTATTTATTGATGTAAAAATTCTTCCTAATTTTTTTCAATGGAATATTATTCGAATATAATTCCAGAAAATATAGTTTTTCGAAGAAAGAGAAGACGGAGGAAGAATAAGGTAACAAACGAGAGTCGAATCTCTTTAACTCTGTGAGAGCCACTTAAAAGGAATTGGAGCAAAATTCGGTCGGATAAATTACCGAGTCGCATTACCATTTCCAGTCGGAATTATATGGGGATGGGCGCATAAATTCAAGGCGGATGAGGCAACAACTGGCTTTCTCCTCCTCCTCCTCTTGGTCCCGCAAGTTCCGCAGAGACGGCTGCCAAATTCAGCAACAAGTTCACTTCCGTAACAGGCGAAGATATCATGGCCGCAGAGCAAGTTCTCTCTCGTCCTTTTCCTCCTTCTCCATCATCTTCTTGCGAAGGAGAAACGTCGATAGACGGTTGTATTTCTTGGCAGCCAACCACCAGCCAAACATTGTCACCGATCTTCAGTGTCAATTTCGAAGCAACAAGTACAGTTGCTTCCGTTTGACTTCCCGCCCCGTACATCCTTTGTCCCACCAGATAACGCGATTCGCATCTCTTGTCTCTCCTCTCAATTCTCGGTATCCGCAATTTTACGAATTTTATTCCGTCCAATCCGTGATTTTTCCATATAATATATTCTTCGAGACGAGGAAAAGATACGGAGAAGAATAATCGAAGAAACATAATTTAAAAATTATTTCAAACGTGTTCTTATTAAAAAAAAAAACGGAGAATCACCGAGTGTCAAGAACACGCTACCTATTAGAAAAACTGTTAATAATCTCATTCCCCCCCTCCTCTCGATTATCAATTATTCGGTGGTTCCTTTGTCCTTTCCAATATTCAAGCTTGGCGTGCGTTTAATCGCTCCACTCCCCCCCCCCTCCCTCGTTCGGGATCCTTTATCCGAGTCGATTACGAAAAAAAAAAAAAAAAAGGAACCGCTCCTCCAATTATCCATTACGCCACGAACGATCGCAGCTTTTCGGTGCGCCATCATGGTTGATCTCGTTAAACTCTACTCGAGCGCCCTCGAGGATAATAAAACGTCGATAAGAAAGGAAGGAATAATCGAACGGAGAGGAGACCTCCGTTTCCTCCCCGTATCCTCGCGCTTTCCTCCACGATCCAAACCGAATTTCCCCTTTATTATTTCCCCCTCCTTTTATTAAATCCTCTACTCGTGGAATAAGTTAATCGAACTCCACCTCGTTTCGAGAGGTTATGTTCTTCATGCGAACGTCTCTCTCTCTTTCTCTTTCTCTCGCGCCTCGAGTGGCTCTCGATCGATGGATCGTTTAATGAAAACGTGCTTTTTTGTGTTCGAACGCACAAGTTTTTTTCATTGTTTCGTCGAATATCGCTTTTGTTCCGTTTCGATTGGAACACTTTCGTGGGAACGCGGCATAAATTACGAACGGTGTTGAATTTAACGATGGGAATAGAGTAGATTTTCGGTATTCGTCAATTCTGTTAAACGCGTTCCTAATATAACGGTGAAGAACTGTTCTCGTGCGAAATTGCCACGACGCGTCCGTCGGAAGCGGATCGTTCGACCACGGAACCGCTTCCAGCTAATTGAATCATCCTAACCAATTTCCCGTGTCACCGGGGACATGTAGGAACGCGATAGGTAGAATCACCAGCCCTCTGGCGAGCAGGAACGGAATTAACACTTTTCTCTCCTCTCGCCTCTTTTTGAGGTTAGAAGTTTGAACGATCGAATATATAAAATTAATTTTTTCAGAGAATTCAAATCAAAATATAATTCCAGTGATATATTCGAGACGATTAAACTAAAACTCTTGATTAATTCTTAAAACTCATCGATTGTTTGGAAAAGTTTTTCCACCAGGATGAAGATTCATTCAGAGTTTCGATCGAAATTTAGCAGAATTTGCATGGTGGAGGGGGAGGAGCGCGCATTAGACGGATCCGCATGTGCCGTCGCGACGGCTGACATTTGAAAAGTGCAACACTCGCCGCGTTGCGGCTACGCCTTCCACCTTCCAAATTTAACGCGGTCGCATACCGACGTGACACGCATCCCCGATGAAATATGCATCGCTGTTTCACGCAGATCCATCCATACGGTATCACGGATCGTCGATAAATCGTGGGAATGAATCGAATCGATGCTCGTTGATTTTTTTTCTTTCTTCTGTTAATTTTTATACACGTAGCTTCGTTTTATATATATATATATATATTCAGGATATATCTCTCAAGAAAGAATCAATTGTTCAGAATCGCGATGTGCAAAAAGGTTTCCACGATTTATTTAAAGACGAAGCGAGATAGAAGTGCGACAGAGATAGAACCGTCTCGCTTTTCCTATCCCCGTCTAGAACTTAAATTCCTTATAACTGGACTGGCGGATGTTTATGCATTTATGCAAAATTTGAAGGTGGAAAAAAAAAAGGCACAGGATACGATATGCAGAAAAATGCAAAACATAGTATAATCCGAGGTATAAGGCTAATCTTTATTTAAACTCCATTTTACCTTCCTCCATCGATATTTCATTATACATACGTATGTATATGTATACATGTAACATTTATATCTCGTCCCTTAGAACCTTCGTCTTACGAATTCTCGATAATATCGACTCACCTCGAAGAGAAATAATCGCCAAGTTCGAATTTTAAGCGCCACTTGGAAATCTTTAAACATCTCGTCCCGCACGATTACATCGAGTGACGACGACGACGACGGCTTCCCTAAATCTTTCCACGATGTCGGTGGCCATCGTCGGCCAATTATTCGCGATTCTCGGAGTACGACGCGGCCCTAATTGTCGGTGGCTGTGCGCGAAAACACATTTTCGTAATTCCGCGTTTGTCCGCCTCGCTCCCGAAATAAATCGAGATGCTCTAGGTTCTACTAGGAAACCACGGATCGTGGTTTCCGTGGTGCGCCAATGGACGAGTCGAAAATGGAATTTCTTCATTCGAATCTTTTCCTTTATTTTTTTTTTTTAGAAAATTATCGATACATTTTTTGATACAATTTTTAAATTATCCAATTTTAATTTGTCCTCGATAACTGTTTCGATTGGATGGAAAATTTTTAACGGCTCCCTAAATCTTGACGACGAACCAATGGCAGAGTTCGATTGGTTCAATCATAACTCGGAGGGGATCGCGAAAGGACTCGTTCCCGACTTGGATAACTAGGAGGAGAAACTTGGCGAGATAAGGGACGCTCTCTCGATCCCTTTTGCGGTCTTATCTATGGCGAGAGAGGTGGCATCGAATCGAGAGGCTTGGGGCGTCGTTTGTCAGCCTCTGAAACTTCAAACCCACGCCTCTTCCGTACCGAGGACAAATATTATTAATTTCGAATCAAAGAAGAATCGAAGAAGAATAGTTTTATCAATTCCGAACGATTGCAATTCTCTTCTTCGTTAATTAAAAAAAAAAAAAGGGAAATGCTAGAAGACGAAATATCTTCTCTCTTTCTAGAAGGAATATTTTTAAAATATTCGTGATCTCATTTCTCTTCTGTTGTTCTAGGACGAGGAATCCGAAAAATTATTTATAACAACGCGGTTTGATTCCGTAAGTTACGTAAAGCGGCGCGAGAGGTGGACGTGCATGAACATTCGATCCGATACGGACATTGTCCTATAGCGTTTGTTTTAACGGCCGTCAGTTTCCGTCACGCGTATCCACTAGGACGCCTAAATTAAGCGGGGAAGGATAATAAATAAGACCGATCCCCCTCTTCTGAAATAAAGCCAAAAGCCTCGGGATCGGGCCAGACGACTCGAGCCGGCTTCTTTTCCTTCTTCGAGATTCGTCGAAGAAAAGTTTCGCTCGAAGATTGTTGAGAGAGGAAACAATAGTTTCGAAATGGAACAAGTTTGTTTGTAGAAGTGGAGAGATATTCGGGGAAGGCGAGAAATTGGTAATAAGTTTTGAATGAATTTTGATAAATATTTGATAAAATTTTCCAACTTTGTCTTTTTCCCCCTCTCATTCTTCATTTTTCAAAAATCTCTCTGTAAAATAAACTTTACAGAGAAAATTTCCTCGATAAATAAGATAAGACGAAGGTAATGATTAATGCTCCAAATAGCTCTCGTTTATCAATCTCTCCTACCGATCTTCGCGATAAACGAACAAGCTCCGAATTAGCAACAACAAATTTACTCCCTCGAATGCTGGTTCCAGAGCAAGTTTCCCAGACAATTTTGGATGACGTTGTTTTGGTAATGTCGCGTTGCGGTTTTCAGAAACCGTGGAAAAAGAGGGTGAAGTTTGGCGATTAACCGGGCCATTAAGAAAGCGACGTAGCTAATTGGCTTGGAGCCGATTTACACGGACCGTCTTTTTGCCCCCCTTCGATTTGCCCTCTCTTTTGAATGTTACCCATTTTGCTTTGTGGAAGAAAAGAGAATTTTAAACTTTTGTCCGAAGGAAGGAAAGTTTGAAATTGATCGATCTCCCACTTAAGATTTATTTTTAAAATTGCGACCGATTGCATTTTTATTTTCCTTCCTTCGAGAAAATTGGTAAAAAGTAGGCTTCCCGAAATGAAGTTAGCCGAGCATCGGGAAGTTCCGATTAAACCTTCCTTTCATTCCAAGAATTATTCTTAAACAAAGAGGAATCGATCGTTGGCTTTTCCAACTTTTAATCGTCCGAAGGAAAGTTTTAAAGGGACTCCCCTCCCCTTTTGTCTTCTTTAATCGCAGTACCATTTTTTACGATTATCCAAAGATTATTTTCCAACTCTCGAAATTGCCAAAAATTACTTCGAACGACATAAGAGAAAGAAGTCTCGATCGTATTACCAAAAAATAATCTCTTAGATCTCCGCGGAGAATCATCTTGGCTCTCTCTCTCTCTCTCTCGAGAGCCGGCCTCAGA